AAAATGCTCTAAAATGCCAGTTCTGCATTGACTGTTGCCTTCGGAAAGCACAGTTGAGCAACGCCATCAGTAGACATCTGACAACTGTTTGGTGTTTCTGGTTCAGGTCAGGATCTGTCTGTGCATCATGGTTTTCGTTGCACTGACTTTAGTTTCAGTATAACCCCAGTGGGCCTCAGCAGATGGCCGCTCACACTGAGTCTGGTTCTGCTGGAGGTTTCTTCCTGTTCAAAGGGAGTTTTCCTCTCCACTGTCGCTACAAGCATGCTTAGTGTGAGGCTTAAGAGTTAGTGAGTCAATGCAATCAGCGGGTTTTCCTTAGAAAACTTGTACCATCTGACTGTATGATCTGGTTGAAGTGGATCTGTAAAGTGCCTTGAGATGACGTGCTGTGAATCGGTTCTATATAACTAAACTGAACTGAACTGAATTCATGGGTTTCAGTTCAAAGTCAAGGCTGCGTTTCCCCCTGTTTTACTTTTCCTACTATAACTTTTATTTCCACTCAGCTCTCTATAAATATGCTGCATTCTGTGAACAATCAGCTTCTGTAGCAGTCACCTTGTGCCCCCCCCCCTCCTTTCTGTGTAAGTGACTGCCTTTTGGACATCTGTCCAGTCAGCAATGTTCCCATTATAAAGCCTACTAACCTAGACTGAAAAACATTAAGAGGCTGAGAAAACCTTTGCTTGCATCTACTTAGGGCCGCAGGTTTTAAATATTTAACCTTTTTTCAAATTATTCAAATTTTCAGAAATTTTCATTGTCTTTAAGCTCTAATTATCAATAATACAAGTTATAAAAGCTCGAAATATTTCAGTAATGAAAGTAAATGATGAGAAATTCACTTTCCGAAATGAATGAAGGGAAAATATGGACCTGTCATAAGTTGAAAAAGTAGGTAAAACCAGATTGAGTTACTTATGAAAAGCACTTTGAATGCACAAATAATAAGTTAGATGAAAGGCTAATTAAAGCAATAATAGCTGCAGAATCTCTCAGTTTATCCTGGAACACAGATACTAACACAGCAGCTCCCCACTCTGTTTAATAATATTTACAAACCCTTTAAACTTTTTACAATTTTATAAAGACATGTTTGTTATGTAACATGATTTCACTTCGGCTTATACAGTTATAGTAAATCAGACATTATCTGTTCAACCAGAACAGCACAAAATCAAAAACCAGTAAAATATTGAGTTTTTTATTTTTATGCAGAATCTGCTATGATATCCCATCAGTTAACAGCCTTATAAACCTTTCAGAGAAGGTTTAGAGCTCCACTAAATAATTCCATATGTCTATTTCCCATAAGACTATTAGTTTTACAAAAATGGCAACATAGATTTCAATTAGATGATTAATGCAAGTCTAAGTTACAGACCTGAATTGATTTTCATTTGCTAAGTGGCCTGAGAAATGTAACTAATATTGTCCAGACATTATCAGAAAAGCTCTCTGATATTTATTATTATATTATTTCTAACCTTTAAAAGGTAAAGACCAATGCCAAGCTTTGTTGTCCATGTTTGACACAGGGAACAGTCAAACGCAGCCTCAAAGATAGATTTAACTAAATCTTTTCAAATTACAAGAATATTTATGAGATTTATAGAATTTTCCTTTTTAGTGTCTGAATTTGTTTAGCGCTTTAGTTACTTTTAGTGTTTGAATATAAGCTTAAAAAAAGCATAATAGTCTCAAAAATTAAATACTGGACAATGATAAACAAAAAATTTAATTAATCATTTTAATAAACTGGTTTGATATCGAAGGTAAAACATTTCCATTGTTGACTTTGTTGTTATTTAGACACCAAAAAAGTGAAGTCAATCTTAAGGAAGTATTTCTATCTCTTCAACGTACTAATTTAAGGTGTAGCTAAAATTATATCCATCATTAAGAGGCATTAAACTTAAGAAGCATAAAACTACTTTAAATAATAATTTGTTTTTCTATTGTTTTTCAAAGAAAATATAAAAACATGCTGTGACCCAATGTTGCCTTGAAGCACCTCATTATGTGGATTACAGTGTGTTAACCACGGGCCTTAATGGAAAAGTCGCTCATATTCAGAATCCAACCTTCTGAAAGTTCTT